ACTGTTGTTTTAATATGTGCTATATAAATACATTTTGATTTGATTTGATAAGAATAAACAGATCAAAGGAAAAAAAGAATGAATAAAGTGAGATTAACATGAGGCACTGAAACTGAATCTGTTGAGTATTTTACTCTTACTTTACTGAAGTGAATGGTTTGAATGGTTTCAAGCTGAACCATGCTGCTGTGCAGTTTTACCACAGTCAAATGTCAGGAAGCCTTGTTTTGGGGAAGCAGTATGATGGACACGGATGTGTAGGTGTGTTTATAAAGGAAAAACAAACACACACTTGAACAGCATCAACCAAATGAAAGGGTTTTTCTCCATGAATGGGAGGAATTGGCTAAACATGCTGCCAATTCAGAGTTCAAACAAAGGCTTTGGGAGCCTGAAGTGACTGTCACTTACAGTCCTCAATAAACAGGAGCAGATGGCATTAAATGGTTAAAATAATAATCCAGAAGCAGGACAATAATACTAATACTTTTGCATGCTGATTGGTCAGTAAAGGATTCCTAACAGCACACAACACCCAGTTTATCTCAACCCATTCTATTAAACAGATGGTAAAAAATTGCCAGTAAAATGTTACCCCGTGTAATTTATTTTCAGCAATCTCTTGATCAATCCCACGGAGGGTTAGGGTTGCTTGTGTGAAAGGGTGAATGAGGCAAGTTGTGTAAAGTGCTTTGAGTGCTGGGTTAGAGTAGAAAAGAGGCGCCGGTTCATTTACATTCAAATCAAAACAGCCAAATCCTCAACAAAATCTCAACTAATAAGCTTTTTAAAAAGCAAGCAAACAAAAATCACCTAGAGAACTGTGGTGGTTATGTAAGCCCCATAAACCCCAAGCAAACACAAGGTTACAAAAACTGAGATGTGCACAACTGGCCAAAACCATACCAAAATGTGACTTGCACCAGTATGTGTGTCATTTTTGGGCAAGAACAGCGAGTACAAAGGGCCCGTTTATATTCACTGCTGCAACCTTGTGTCACAGTCACTTGTATTTAAAACCGCCATTGAGGTACAGGAGCCGCTGCAGTATCCTGAACAACAGGTGTCGACACTCGGACAATATTGTTACACAAACGCTGATATAAATGGTAAATGGCCTGCATTTGTATAGCGCTTTACTCAGTCCCTAAGGACCCCAAAGTGCTTTACAGTCATTCAGTCATTCACACACACATTTACACACTGGCAATGGCAGCTACATTGTAACCACAGCTGCCCTG